GCTAGGTAAACCAAACCAAACACTCAGTGAGAACAACCTGAAGATCTTGCCAAAATACTTACAAAAAGTGTTTGAAGGCAATCTCGGAGCCAACAGGATGATGAAGCATCACCTGGCTAGGTGCACAGGGCTGCCCCATTTTTTTTTTTTTTCTTAATTTGTTTTTTGAGACAGGATCTCATGTTAACCAGGCAGGCTGATTCACTTGCCTCTGCCTCCCCTGTGCTGGGATTAAAGGTGTGCACCACTAAGCCCAGCTTGTGTCATGGTTTAACACTTAAATTCTCTCAAACTCTTGTTGCGATGTAATTGCTACTATGAGGCTATGTGGGCAGCTGCTAAGGGGGAACTTAATGTCTTTTAAAAAACGAGTAGCTGTCCTCCATCTCTGCCTTCTGCTATGGGATGAAGCAGGAGGCCCTCACCAAATGCTGGAGTTTGATATTAGACATCTCGGACTTTTGAACTATGAGTTTATCCCCAGATCTACCGCCTCTCAATCTCCCCCTCCCCCGCATTTCTGAGATTATGTAGCCCAGGCTGGCTTGGAATTTGTGGCAGTCCTCTTGTGTCTGCCTCTTGAATGCTAGGGTTATGAGTATGCACCATTATATTCAGTGGCTCTCTCTCTCTCTCTCTCTCTCTCTCTCTCTCTCTCTCTCTCTCTCCCTCCCTCCCTCCCTCCTCAGTCTTTTTGAGACAGGGTCTCCCTGTCGCATCAGCTGGCCTGGAAGTCACTATGTAGACCAGGTTTCCTTCAATTTCAGATCCACCTGCTTCCACCTCCCAAGTGTTGTTTCTTTTTTTAAAGATGTATTTTTATTTTATGTGTATGAGTGCTTTGCATACATGTATGTTAAGCATTCACGTACATGCAGTGCCCTCAGAGGCCAGAGAAGAGCATCGGATCCCCTGGAACTAGAGTTACAGAAGGTTGTTAGCTGCCATGTGGATGCTGGGAACTAAACCTGGGTCCCCTGCAAGGGCAGTGAGTGCTCTAAACTGCTGAGTCATCTTTCCAGACCCCAGTTCTATTTTTTTTTAATTTATTATTTTTATGTGTATGAGTGTATTGCCTGCATGTATGTTGAGTGCACCCCCGTGTTGTGCAATGCCACAGAGGTCAGAGGAGGGCTTCGGATTCCCCTGGAACTGGAGTTAAGGACAGTTCATAGCCGTTATGTGGGTGCTGAGAATCGAACCCGGGTCCTCTGCAAGAGCAATTAGTGCTCTTAACCGCTGAGCCATCTCTCCAGCCCAGTTCTATTTCTTATTCGTGAACAGTGACTCAGACTGTCTGCTTTGCCCTGGAGGTTTCTGCTAACTGGAGCCAGTGTCTGAACAATACTCACATGGCTGTGGGATATCAGGTCAGAGGCTGGGAGATGAGCAGGGGGTGGGAGCTGCTGGTGAATCCTTTGCTTTGGGTTAGAATCAGTAGCTTTGCCATAATGAGATTCAAACTTACAGGTTTTTAGATTTTGTTTTTTTTCAAATATTTTATTATTTTTATTTTATGTGTATGAGTGTTATGCCCGCGTGTAGGTAAGTGCACCCATGTCGTGCAATGCCTGCAGAGGGCAGAAGAGGCTGTCAGATCCCCTGGAACTGGAGTTACGGACAGTTGTTAGCTGCCATGTGGGTGCCGGGATTCAAACCCCGGTCTTCTACAAGAACAGTCAGTATTCTTAATCGCTGAGCCATCTTGCTCCAGCCCAGATTTTGTTGATTTTGAGATAGGATCTCCCTGTAGCTCCAGCTGGCCCGGAAGTCAATAATGTAGACAAGGCTGGCCTCAAACTCACAGAAATCTGCCTCTGCTTTCTGAATGCTGGGATTAAAGGCACACACCATCATACCCAGCTCAAATTTAGGTTTTAATAAAGAAAAGCACATTATTGGTTATGGCTTGGACATTACCTGTTTCTCAGTTTTTCATGTTGATAGCAAATGTGGCTCTTCACTGGTTGAGAAACCCTTGACTTCCAGCTCCGGGAGGTGGTAAGAGTGCTGCAGTGGTCTTGAATTTAGGGTCAGAGTCCCAAGAACAGAGCAGGATATTGAGTAGCAACTTGCACTGAAGCTGCAGGCAGAGTGCCAGGGGACCTATAGGGTTGGCCTTGTCAGCCATGAGCACCAGACAGAGTCTTGGCTCTAACCTATGGTCTGAGGACAGCACAAGGTGACTACGTTACGTAGAGTCCTGATGCCTAACACAGGACCCAGGTCCCCAAAGGCTGAAGGATGCCATGCTGCCTAAGAAGTGCTATACTAACAAATTAAGTGTCCAGTGTGGCAGCCCATGCCTGTAATCCTAGCACTTGGGAGGCTGAGGCAAAAGAAAAAGGGAAAAATTCAGTGCCTAAAAGTATCCTTGGAATGTTTTTGAAGAATCTTGAGAGTCATCAAATGCAGGGGACTTGGCTCCTGTGTTCTCTCTCCTATTGTTCACCAGTTCCTATGCCTTTCTTCTAGAAAGAACTGCGAGGGCAGGGTCCTTTCTGCATGTCACCCCTGGAACCTTCTTTCCTTTCCTTTCTCTATCTCATCCACCTGTTTTACCTACACTGCCAGTGTGGGTCTGCTCCTGGCTTTTGTTCACACATCCTGAGACACCAGGGGAGAAGCTTGGATACTGAATGTTTTGCTAAGCGCATTGAACTCTTGAAAGCAAGGGAAGGTGCAACGGAGGGCCATGCTCTTTTAAAAGCAGTGTTGCAGAACCCCTTGTTGACACAATGACACAGTGCAGTCACGGTTTTTTATCTTAGGTAAAGTCAGATATTAATTTCCATCTTACATGGGTAAAATCAGAGATCAGTGTTTACTTCTGTGAGCACATGATGATCCTGTGTTCTTTCATTTTACAGATTTCCAAGCAAATTAGTACTTAAATGCAAGCATAACCTATCACCTAAGTGTATTGTCATATGACCAACCTTGCCTAAAAGTCAGAAACCCCTGTGACTGCAGAACCAGGGTGGCAATGCAGCTAGGGGGCCCTCAGTCCAGTGGAGCAGTCTGGGGGTGGTACATCTGTGGAGCTTTTAGGCCAGTGTGTCCCTGTGAGCTGGAAGAGAGGAACAGTGAAAGGGAGGCACTGAGTCTGGGGCTCAGGGTGCTAGGAGGCAGGAGGCCTGGGGTAGAGACTGTGGGATCCCCTCAGTTAAGGCTTTGTTGGCAGTTTGCCCTCATTATGATGAATGGGCTTCTGGGGACCATAATTCCTCTTGTCACAAGAACTGCCAGTCCCACAACCTCCTGATGTCTCATGGTCCTGCTTGACCCAGACTAAGGGCAATCCTGTGGTCTTATCAAAGTTGCAGCTGCTTCACGCTTCACATGAGCCTTAGGGTTTTTTTTTTTTGATCTAAGGGAAAATGAAGCTGTCAATCATTTCTCTACAGAGGAAATAGGCACCATTGTTATCTGAAATGCTAATCTGCTAATCCACCTGCAGATGCCTCAGCTCCCAAAGGTGGACTGGAAAGTCACTGCCAAGGGCAGAAGCCTTGTACTTGTGATCCTAAATGAGTTGTCCCATGAAAGTCCCCAGCCATTCCCAGGGACAGGATAGGCAGTGAGACAGTGGCGGGCCAGGTGTACTTGTGCTAGACCCTCCACACCAGGGAAAGCCCTCATTTCATCCACTCCAGAAGAGGATAGGGGAACTACCCACCTACTGGAGAACCAGGGAAAGATGATTCAGTCTGGCTCGCAGGGGTGGGGTTACCCCAGTGTGCACAGGGTATTGAGAGGGATGCTAATGATGGGCAGGCCAAGATGATTCTGCCTCCAACCTCAGAGGCCTGGTGACAGGAGGAAAGGCTGGTTCCTATGGACCAGTGGGGTGGACAAAAGTTGGCACCCTGTGTGATTTGGAAGGCACTCCCATGGGACATCAGCACCCACTGCTCTAATCAGCACAGCCCAGAGGTATGTAAGATCAAATTGACAGTCTCACAGGCCCCATATATTTCTTTTTTTTTTTTTTTTTTTTTTTTTGAGACAGGGTCTCCCTGTAGCCTCAGCTAGCCTGGAACTCAATATGTAGACCAGGCTGGCCTTGAACTCAGGGATCCACCTGCCTCTGCCTCCTAAGTGCAGGGTTCAAAGGCATGCACTACCATGCCTGGCACAAATATTTCTTTTAAAAGCCAGAAACAAGGGGTTAGAGAGATGGCTCAGCAGTTAAAAGCACTGGCTGCTCTTCCAGAGGACTGAGGTTCAATTCCCCGTATACACATGGTGGCTAACAACCATCTGTAACTCTAATTCCAGGGGATTCAATACCCTCTTCTGGTCTCTGTGGGCTCTGCATGACATGGGTGCACTTACATACATGCAGGCAATACACTCATACACATAAAATTAAAAAACAAATTCAGAAACAAGGAGAAAAACATGCTTTTCATCTCACACAGAATACCATCTTAATAAATTGGTTTTGTTCTTCCTATTAATTTGGTCGAAGGAAGAAGATTTCTTTCAAATTTAAGCTTGTCCCAATGAGTAATACAGAGTAGATTAACTTAATTTGTGCTAGAATCCAACTGAATTCCAGCTCCAGCTCATAGGCCAAGCCAAGTCCCCAGAAAAAGAACAATTTTCCTTCTTTGAGGGAAAGATAAAGGATTAGAAGGTTCATATCATGTTGCTAGGCAGTGTTTATGAAATCACAGGCCACTGAGACGCATGCATACACATACATGCGCACGTGTGCACACACTACTGAAGCTACAGGTGACTGAAACATGCCAAAAGAAGGTGTAAAAGTTGGGTCCCAGCAACTCAGAAGGTGAGGCAGGAGAACTGCCATCAATTCTTGGCCAGTCTGGGCTACACAGTGAGTATCAGTCCACCTTGGGCTACAATGTGAGACCGTGTCTCAAGAAAAAACCAAAACAAAAGCAAAAAGGTGTGTACTGTCGGTGTTATGTGTCCAAGGCACCAGGATCCTGGGAAAGCTCTAAATTTTGGTTTAGAAATAAAATTGCATATTGAATAGTAAGTTTCTACGTTTATTACTGTGCATCCCCCCTTGCACTACAATCTAAGCTGAGTGGTGTATTGCCAACTGGCAGCAATTTCCCAAATCAAAAGTGTGCGAAGGAAACACTTGTGCGACTCTCGCTGGTAGAAGATGCATTGGGTGATCCGTCTGCTTCTGCTCTCCAGACATGAAGTAACTAGCCGAACTCCAGGTGGGGGTGCACCCTGACTCAGTCAGAATCCATGGTGAAAAGCTGGATGTCCTGTGGGTTCCAGTATAGGCCTACTGCAGAGCTGTAGACCAGAGACCAGACATAGGGGATGAAAAACTCCTCTGGTTGCTCCTCTTCCACATATTTGAATTTCAATTCTGGAAATTTCTGCAACGAGAACAAGATGACTTTATCATCTCATTGTCCAAAATACAAACAAAAGCAGTAGTGTGTATGTAGGGAGACCCTCCCTGAATCTGTCATAGGTGGAGAGTGCTGGGTTCTTCACATATTTTTCTGTTAAATGGCTTCTGGGAGAACAAATTTACCTGTAGCCAGCTTGGCCTGCAGTTTGCTGAGGAGGGCCCAAACAGGTGGGGATAAAAATGAGGCAGGTCTCTGCTGTGGTGGCAGACAAGGCAAGTATCATCCAGTGTTCAATGCCAAGGCCTGGCATTGAAAGCTGGGTTGAAGGGTGGGCCATTTAGAAGGTGAAATCTCTCTTCAAAACCCTGAGCCTTGAGCTGAGAGGGAGAAATGGGCAGCAGGTAACTGGCTCTCCGAAGCCTGGCCTCAGCCTCATCCAAGTGGGGACAGGGTGGAGGCTGAAGTCCTTCCTTTGGGGGCTAGAGAAAGCTCAGGGCTAGCGCTGCACAAATCTAGGACCCTGGGAACAATCTTCAGTGCCACTTGACATGGGCAGGTTAGTGGCTTAAGGCAATAATTACATTGTAGCACATCACTAGGACTCAGCTTGTGACTCTAATTTTATTCCTGACCTACCATCCCACCCAGGACAGAGGAAGTTCCTCCTTCTAGTCTGAGGAGCAGCTGGGGTCCACTGAAAGCCTTTGAGCCTCTTCCCTGCCAAGGAGGCTCCACCAGGAGAGGCTGCAGTGTGGTAATGCCTACTGCAGGCTGGGTGGGGAGAGCAGGGGGTAAGCCAGGGTCCTAGGATGTAGATGGTGCTGGAAGGCTGAAGGAGAGGGTTGAGAGAGAAGGAAGCAAGGCATGCATCTCCAGCCGCATGTATCCATTAGATCCAGGAGGGTGGAGGGACTTTGGTGTTTGCTGGAGGCTGAATCCCCAGAGAGTGCCAGGTGTCTGTAACTCATATGGTCAATAACTGCTCAGTGAAAGTTGTCACACACTGAGGACTGAGTGTGCTCCTGATGCACAGGCAGATACACCATGCATATCTTCTCAATCTTCTTGCAGAGCACATTCTTTCATTCACCAAATGCCTGCTGCTTGGTGCCAGGCAAGCTTGTGGGCACTGGGGTCTGGAGCCTGAAAAAGGGCAGACGTTGCAGGGCCTGCCATGGAGGTAGCCAGATGGAGTACGAAGTGTGTCCCCAAAGGGACAGTGTATGTGTGAGGCCCATGGCTACCCTAGTGGGTCTAGAAGGAGGCAGAGAGAGCAAACACTGACAAGCAGTGCCTGGCCCCTGAGACACACAAAGATTCCTGGACTCTAGGCCAAGGTCTTAGGAGTCTTGGAAGGGTTCAAAGATAGGTGCAGCATAAGGAGAATGGCCTGTGTAGTGACCTCCATCCCACTGTAGAAGACTGGGGCATGTGCTGGCTCCCTAGGGAAGGTGGTGACTTTGGTCCTGAACTGAGATGATGCTAGTTGGGGGATTCTGGGATTTAGGAAAAGGAGGCCTGGGTAGAGGAGGTACATGTGCATGCGTACACATACATATAGGGTTATAGGAATTTTGAAGTAACAGAATGATACAAACTGAGCATGCCCAAGTGACAGATCCCCAGAGTTCCAGAATGATCTGTGAGGAGCAGAGTTACACAGAAATGAGCTACATCTTGAAAAGTGTAAAGGAATATTCCCAAAAAGGAAATGCTCTGGCCTTTGACATCACTGCTACACACCACAGACAGCACAGTTCTACCTGCCATAGCTTCAGAAAAAAATCATCTCCTTACTTTTTGGCCCTAGAATGTCATGTAAGTATAGATAAGTATAGACACAATGGGAATATGAACAATCAGCACCGGTGGTAACAGGGAGCAGTCAGTAGCTACCACCACATTATGCATCATGTGACGGCTGCTCCCCACACAGCCTTGGGTCAGACAGCATGAATGTCCTGCTGAGGCTGAATCGCCCCACTAATAGAAGGGACAGCCAGAGTCAGCAAGTTCTGCATTTGGCTCAAGGACAGTTTCTGTTGGGTGGAGTGAGGCTGAAAGTCCCCATCTGATTGGACAAAGTCAGTTTGAAAAGTAATTCTAGCCACCCTACCATTTTGTCCTTAAATTCAAATTTCTTAGGCACTACGAAAAGGGTTAGTTCTGGGCAGAACCCAGTCAGCACACTACTGGTCCTTAAAAAATAACCACAAAGTCAATTATGTCAATGTTCAATAAAGGATGGAAGGCTGAAGAAAAGATGTTCCAGTTCTTAGAATGTCCTTGAACTTTGGAAAACCTGCTCACCCTAAAGGGGAAAGTGGTGGGGAGGGGTGGCTTGAAAGTCCCCATACTGCTTTAGATTGTAATAACTTACACTACTGTGTTAGAAATAAAAATGACTCAAGGATCGAGGCCTCTTCTCTTACCTAGTGACACATTTTGGGGGGTTTCCTGGGAAGGCCTTGGAAGAGGGTATGAGGTGACCTACGTGAGGAGTACACAGGGTAGCTTCTGGCTGCACGTTAAATGCCTGAGGTGGGTAGAGCAGGCAATGAAATGACCAAGTACGGAAATGAATGCTCAACTGTTCACACCACCTTCCAACTGAACTTCAGAGAGCTAGCCGAGAGATGTTACTAAACTTCTGGCTACCACCAAATTTACCTGTCCTCACAGCTTTGGGAAATTCTTCTAACTGTCCTGTTGGAAAGAGGCAGCCCTAAAATCTAGAGGAAGTGGAAACAGGGAAAAAAAATCACCCAGGATCCCTGGATGATCTATCACACCAATCCGTTAAAAACTAGAATCCATGCCACCCTTCTACAAAGGCACAAGGTGGGGACCGCCACTCTCATCTGAAGTAAATGATTTGGTTAGTAACAGACATGGCTCCCATGTACTATAAACAAAGTCTCAATGTAAAGCAGTATCTAGAATGGCCAGAGCATCTTGTGGATATGACAGTATAAGCACATACTGGGAAAAACTGGACAGCAGACAGGGGTAGAGTTTATTATTCTTCAAGATGAGCACTGATTATTTCAATAGTTCTCCACAAAAACTTAGTAATTCTGAGACTATAGCTGAGCTATTTATAGCTAATGTAATTGATTACATTAGCAAGTATATCAAAATGCCTTGTATTTAATTACTCATCTAATCTCTGAAGCAACTAAAAAAGTATTCAGAAGACAGGCAGATAATCTGAGTTCTCCCCTCTCTCTCTTTCTTCCTCAGATAGTTCCTAAGGGCCTAGTGTGTAGTAAGCACATGAACAAAAGTGTATCTGGGACTAATATGTATACAGACCCAGAATTTAAGGCGGAAAGTCTAGCTTTTATTAGTGGTGACTTTGGACAAGTCTCCTCCCTTGCTCAGACTCAGGCTCTTAGGAGACAGACTTTACTATCCTCTGAGATTTTGCATTGAACTGAATTTCACAGTTGTAGTGACAATCATAGGAGATAAGCCACGTGATGAGTTAAGGAAGTTTGGCTAGAGCACTGGCTGTTGTTACTGACAGTACAATGAATGCAAGAATCAAAATCTAGAGAGCAGAAATACTGCAACTGGGTTGTGAGCCTATCTCTCATGCTAATGGGCACTTGCCACTTGTAACTCTGTTCCCTGGCTCTTAGTAATAGGCATAAAAGCCCCAGTCTCCCTGAATAAGAGCTAGAAACAAGGGCAGAGAAATGACTGCAAACACCAGGCTCACTGTCACAGACAACTTACAAATGTCTGTTCCTTACAAGAACAAAGCTATCACGGAGGGGGCGTGGGTCTGAAGAAGAGCTCTGTCCTTGTCTCAGAGGCGGGTAACAGGAAGGGAGAGTGGCCTTGAGGTGGGTTTATGGTAACAGTAATGAGGCGGAAGGTTACTTCTACTATGTATGTGAAATCCTAATCCACTACGCAGGCACATCTACAGCCTTCTTGTAAGATTATGTAGCACCTTCAGCAACATCCAAGATGAAGCCAGGGTTGTGGCAGCAAATCTGAGCTTCATGGGACTAGGTGGCTGAGGCTAGCCTGAGAGAGGACCCTGGCCCTTCTGCTTGGCGCCTGCAGAGACAGTCCAGCAAAGCACATGAGAAGTGACATTGACTGGAGTCACCCACAGACCACTTTACCAATGAACACCCTATTGAAAATAAATGTGGACTCTTCCAGCCTCTGGCTTACTGCCCTATTAGCATTCAGTGCAGCTGGACTTATTCTGGCTATCAGTTTCTTCATATGTACACCATTTGCTTCTCCAGTTAACACTATATAGGCTTTCAAAACAAAACAGGAACCTTCTGGGGCTGGAGATATGGCTCAGCAGTTAAGAGCACTGGTTGCTTTTGCAGAGGACCTGAGTTCAATTCCCATCACCCACATGGCAGGTAACAACTGTCTGTAACTACAGTTCCAGGGGAATTCAATACTTTTTTTGGACCTCCATGTGCACTGCACAACATGGGTGCACTTACACATATGCAAGCGATACACTTATACTTTATGAAAAATAATAAATAAAATATAACTCCCGCCCCCGGAATCTTCTAAGCATCTGGCACGTTAATGACCACTGTTGAATTAAATGACTGAACAAAGGACTTCACATATGCACAGTAATCCTGTGATAGGTATTAACTAAAACAGATAAGAGAAATGAGGCTCAACCAGGTTAAGTAACCTGCCAAAGGGGCCACAGCCAGCAGACAGTGGGACTCTTACCAGGGCCTCAGGTGTCCTTCCTCTGAGCATCTGCAACTAGGATTTACAAGTTTCCAAGAAATGTTCCCCAACAGTCACTTAGCCTTGGTGCCCCAGTGTTCTCATTGTGAGGTGCAGGGACTGCTCTCTTGGCCAGTCAGGTTATGGCCACAAAAGGAAATGAGTAGTTTGGGGCATTTCTCTGGGACTTGGGTTTCTTACTTTGTGTAAAATGCAGGGCCGTTGAGTTCCTTCCAGTTCTGACTAGGTGTCTGATGGCTCCAGTAGGGTTTAAACATCTCTAATGCGTGCCA